GAGGTTGAGTGAGTGAGGTTGAGTGAGTGAGGTTGAGTGAGTGAGGTTGAGTGAGTGAGGTTGAGGTTGGGTGAGTGAGGTTGAGTGAGTGAGGTTGAGTGAGGTTCAGGTTGGGTGAGGTTGAGGTTGGGTGAGGTTGAGGTTGAGTGAGGTTGAGTGAGTGGGGTTGAGTGAGTGGTTGGGTGAGTGAATGGGGTTGAGCGAGTGAGTGAGTGAGGTTGAGTGAGTGAGTGAGTGAGTGGGTGAGTGAGTGCGTCAGTGAGTGAGTGAGTGAGTGAATGAGGTTGGGTGGGTGGGTGGGTGAGTGCGGTTGGGTTTGAGTGAGTGCATGGGGTTGAGTGAGGTTGAGGTTGAGTGAGGTTGAGTGGGTGAGTGAATTGAGTGAGGTTGAGGTTGGGTGAGGCTGAGGTTGGGTGGGGTTGAGGTTTAGGGTTCATGGATCACCAGATGTGGATCACAAGATACGGATCACCAGATAATCAGATATGGATCAGCAGATGTGGTTCACCAGACATGGATCACCAGATGTGGATCACCAGATATGGTTCCCAGATATGGATCACCAGAAATGGATCACCAGATATGGACCACCAGATCTGGATAACCAAATATTTTTCACCAGATATGGATCACCAGATGTGGATCACGAGATATGGACCACCAGATGTTGATCACAAGCTATGGATGACGAGATAGCAATCACCAGATATGGACCACCAGATATGGATCACCAGGTATGGGTCACCAGATATGGACCACCAGATACGGATCACTAGATGTGGACCACCAGATATGGATAACCAGATATGGATCACCAGATATGGATCACCAGATATGGATCACCAGATGTGGATCACAAGATATGGATCACCAGGTATGGGTCAGCAGGTATGAACCAGCAGTTATGGATCACCACATATGGACCACCAGATATGGATCACCAGATGTGGATCACAAGATATGGGCCACCAGATATGGATCACCAGATGCGGTTCACCAGATATGGATTACCAGAGATGGACCGCCAGATATGGATCCCAGATATGGATCACCAGATGTGGACCACCAGATACGGAAAACCAGATATGGATCACTAGATATGGATCCCCAGATATGGATCACGAGATGTGGATCACCAGATATGGATCACCAGATATGGATCACCAGATGTGGACCACCAGATATGGATAACCAGATATGGATCACCAGATGTGATTCACCAGGTATGGATCACCACATATAGATTACCAGATATGGATCACCAGATCAGGATCACCAAATGTGGATCACAAGGTATGGATGACGAGATAGCAACCACCAGATATGGACCACCAGATATGGATATCACCAGATATGGGTAACAGCAGATATGGATCACCAGGTATGGGTCACCAGATATGGACCACCAGATATGGATCACCAGATGTGGATCACCAAATATGGATCACCAGATATGGATCACCAGATGTGGATCACCAGATATGGATCACCAAATATGGACCACCAGATATGGATCACCAGATGTGATTCACCAGGTATGGATCACCACATACAGATTACCAGATATGGACCACCAGATCAGGATCACCAAATGTGGATCACCAGGTATATGGATCACCAGATGTGGATCACCAGATTTGGATCAGCAGGTATGGATCACCAGCTATGGGTCACC